ATTGTGGCATCCATAATTGTAATTGCGATTAGAAATTCGATTAATTGTGCAGCCCTGACTTGGAAGGTGGGAAATATGGGCGGCCATCCTGAGAAACACTACAAAGCTCTGCTGAATAAGTATCTCAACACACCTGAGAGAGTGGCAAAAGCTAATGCTGTAGGCCTATTCTGTGCACAGATGCAAAATGAGCACGATTTCTAAATCTCATCTTTAGTGGTTAGTGTCTCAGCAATTCAATATTAAACAAAACAAAAAAAAAATGTTTGCAGTCATTTTCCAAACATTGGTTGATGTATTTGATGCCTTTTTTAAAGATTATAATTACGATTATTTTAAAATAATTTTATATTCTACAACTTTTTATTCTACAAAAAGTCAATTTTAAGCTTTTAATCATCAAAAACTATGTTGGCAACCACATTTTTTGGAATTTACAAACAACAATAATTGACATTTTGTCTGAATATTTATTATGTTCAGCTTTAGCAGTTCAAGAACTTTTAAACAATTTTCAATGTCCGATAGCTCACACATTACTTTTGCTAAATCTAAATTCTGAACAAAATATTCCACAATTTATGGTTATATGCACTGTATTTTATTTATGTATCCTCTTTTTAAATATGCTACATTTTGCATCTTTTTAAAAATCATTTTAATGTTCTAACTATCTATATTTTCTAACTATAGTTTAATAGTTTTATTAGTTAATGAGTAATGTAAATCAAACTTCATCTGAGTCTTTATGCTATGTAGGACAAGTGTCACTGCACTTTACCCCAGTTATATAAACATACAGTACGCACGCACTGCAGTTCAGTTCATCTCGTCGACTCTGTGCAGGATTAAAGATGTCCCGGGCAGCAGACAGATTAAAAGTGGTTTTGAATCACCTGGATCGGTCCCACGGTGCTGTCGTATCCTTTCAGAGGCGCGTTTACCGCGAGCGACCGGCGCGATGAAATTCAACGCGCCGGTTATCTAGGAAGCTAACGCGGCGCTCTGGCAGCGCAGCTCTGGCCTCAGAAAAGGGGCTGTTCTCGGATCACACGCCGTGCACAAGCCGAGGCATTGCGAACAGGCCTGGTTTATTATTTACTACTTCTCAGTAATGGAAATATTTATTTTTAACAACATTGGATCATATTTAACTATAATTACTCTCTTGCTATTACAAATAAATAAAGCACGGCGATTCTTTTTACGTTGTTATCATAGCCTGTAGGTTGTTATGTATTATGTGCTGTTGACATCGTATATTATAATGTTATGAACTTTAACCTGCATCATTCAGAGAGCATCCTTCACTTCTGCACAAAACGTGTCATATCACCATCCTCAAGTCTTACAGTTAGTCAGCTTTCTGTTGTTTTAGTCTTTAAATATTGCTGAAATTCATTTAAGTACACTTTACATAATGTCCTGATATTTGTTTCCTGGTCTGTTTGTAAACTATATTCTGGCTTGTCTGCAGATACACTTCTGACACGGGTGTCCTGACTCCAGAACAGAGAATTGCCTATGAGGAGAATGGTTTCATACTCATCCGAAAATTGGTATCGGACCAGGATATTGACAGATTCAGGCAAGACTGATCAAATTATTGAACATTCATTAATTTAGTTTATAATTGTGGTATTTGCCTATAAAAGAATTAAATTATGCCAGAAAAACTTCCTTCTTTTAATTAAAATATTGACTGAATGTAAGAATGCCTTCTGTGTGAACAGCCCCTAACTCTAGAATAGACAAACTTGATTGTAAAATGCATTGCTATGGACTTTCAGCCTGTGATAAGGTTATGTAATGATATGAGAAAAAACAAACAATATATTGGCTTCTAAAGGCACGTTTTTTAATATCTCTTTAATGATTCATCTGCTACAATAACATAATGTCTTAAATTATCTTAATTTGGAGAATAAATATTGATATTTATGATTTTTTTATTATTAAGCCACAAACAGAGGTTTAATTAATAAATAAAAAAATGCAACACCAGGAAATTCAATCCATCAGAAATTCTGTTTAGTGACACTAATAAGAGATTATTAGGCTGCATGTAAACGTAGGTACTGTAGGTGTGTGTCAAGTTAATTCAGAGTAGATTATTAACAGAAAGTCTACATTTCAGTGCTCTTCTTTGCACATAGTCTTTACATAACTGAGTGTGTGTGTTTCACAGGAAAGAGTTTGAGCGCATCTGTAAGAGAGAGGTGAAGGTGCCTGGTTTGGTGGTAATGAGAGATGTAACCATTGCTAAATCAGAGTATGTTGAAGGTGAGAAGGCTGTGACCAAACTTCAGGACTACCAGGAAGATCTAGAACTTTTCCGCTACTGCACTTTACCACAGGTAGACACAAGCACAGAGTAGACTACAATGCATACAATACACTCTCTACAGCAACAGGAATGTCATTTTTACCAATATTTGATTGCATGTTTCTTAGATCCTGAAGTATGTGGAATGTTTCACTGGACCCAACATTATGGCCATGCACACCATGCTCATCAACAAACCACCTGACACAGGTATAGATTTGTGCAGACCTGATTTTTGGACCAAGCAGAATGTTTTCGGAATTATTAAATAATGTCTAGATTAACTTCTTTCATACTTTCTAGGTAAGAAGACCTCTCGCCATCCTATGCACCAGGATCTACACTACTTCCCCTTCCGCCCTGCAGACCGCATTGTGTGTTCATGGACCGCCATGGAGAAAGTGCATCGGGGAAATGGCTGTCTGGTTGTCCTGCCCGGCTCTCACCATGGCACTCTGCTGGAACATGACTACCCAGAATGGGAGGTGAGAGAGACCCAGGATGTGAGGGTGATAATGCAGATGGTCTACATCAGTCCACCTCACTTTGCCTATTTGTTTCCTTCCAGGGTGGAGTAAATAAGATGTATCACGGGGTGCGTAACTACGACCCAAACCATCCCAGAGTGCATTTAGAGATGGAGAAAGGAGATACAGTGTTTTTCCACCCTTTGCTGATCCACGGCTCAGGAATGAACCAAACCGATGGATTTCGAAAGGTTGGGATACTTGCATGCATAAAAGTGGAGCTATATTCTACACATTTCAGTGTGCCCTGTTTTCTCGTGGTAGTAACATACAGACCAAGTAGACAGAGCTAAATACATGTGTAAATGGAGACCAAGGCCATTTTCTCAACCTTAACATACATTCGGAGGTGTTCAGGGATGGATATGGCCACATTGCATTTGTAGAATTAAAGGAATAATTCACCCCAAAATTTGCTAAAAATGTACTCGCGCTCAGGCCATCCAAGATGTAGATGAGTTTGTTTCTTCATCAGAACAGATTTGGAGAAATGTAGCATTACATCACTTACTCACCAATGGATCCTCTGCAGTGAATGGGTGCCGTCAGAATGAGAGTCCATGTGTGTGCATTTATTCCAGGCCATCTCCTGTCACTATGCCAGCTCTGACTGCTATTACATTGATGTGAAAGGAACAACTCAGGAGAACATCAGCAATGAAGTGAAAGAGCTTGCAGCCAAGAAGTATGGAGTTGATGATACTGTTACCTTTCAGGTGTGTTCACAGCTTCAGATAAATGCAGAGTTACTTGCATGCACACGTGTGGTTTATCACTGCGGTCGGGTTCAACATACATGTGTTTGTTCTGTGTGCAGGACACCTGGGCTTTGCGGGGACGTCTGGTCCAAGGAGACAGAGCATCAATGTGATCGCCAGTGCTCATCTGTCTGCTTAGAGAGAAGATGGCTTCACAGCTGTTTGTTAATTATCTGACAATTTCCTTAAAAACTGAAAATTATCCTTTCACTAAAAGTACAAACTTTGGCCATCAGGTGGCACTGTAGGGAATAAATCATGGATCATATTTTGTGAATTGCCATCTGTGCCTGGGACAAGCAGTCCTGATACCGATCTACTAGTAATGAAAGCCAGACATTGTAATATTATCATTAACGGATCTTGGTGTGGACTTTTCTTTAAGCAATGTAAGAACATTGGGAATTCATTGTCTTGGACTGATACTTCAGGTGTTCGTGAGAGTGTTTCCTGCAAGTAATTAGTGAGGTTGTTGCTTATGGTGAAATAGTTTGATCAGAATTTGAGCTCACAGCGGGCACTTGGGAAAATATAATTGAGTACAGCAGAGCATTCAATCGGCCTCCATTTGAAATGTCTAAGATCCAGCTTTTTGCAGATGGAAATAATGGTTTTGAAAGAATCAGAGGCAAAGCAATGAGGCAAATGTATTTTACTGTTAATTCTGGAATATTAAATGGATTAATATGTTTGATCAACATTAGATCGAGTCTAGATGTGCCTATTAAACTTTATGACACTACAGTAGTAGTAACTTTGCCTTGACAACACACTGCTTTTGGAGTAACAATCCAATTAGTAAAACTGAAAGTTTCTACCATATAATTTTGCTTAATATAAATAAATACACATTTATTTTAAATAACCTTATGCCTGATTAAGTTTCATATGTGAATGTATATGTTTTAGAGCAATAAATGCATATAATGCAATAAATGCAAATTTGTGTTTTACAACATATATAGCCTATATATATTTAGTGCTGTCAAACGATTCATCGCATCCAAAATAAAAGTTTTTGTTTACATGCTATATGTATGTGTACTGTGTATATTTATTATGCATATATAAATACACATACAGTATATATTTTGAAAGTATTTACATGTATATACATTTATATTCTTATATTTCATATTATATATAAATATATTTAATATTTAACACTCATATTTTTCTCAAATATTTTATATCACATTTTTCTTAAATATATACATGCTTGTGTTTGTATTTATATATACATAATAAATATACACAGTATACACAC